GGAATTCATAGGCCATCAGTGCGTCAGTTCCCAGTGGTTAAATGGTCAAGGAGTTCACCCTCATTCTACAGCTAAATGACAATACCACGTGTCAGGTGATCAACAGCGGAAAACTCACTGAAGCCACTGGAGTGATTACAAGTGTAATACAAGGCTTCTTACTATCATCAATGGAATTCCTAAATGTGGTGAACTGGACTATGCAGTACACCGTTCGGGGGGGGGGGCGAGAAGAGAGGATTAAGCTGGACTACTGATAAAAAGACTTTAGAAGATCTGGATTTCGCAGACGATATATGTCAAACACCACACAAACTAGAAGACTTGCAGAAGAGAACCAACAAACTGGCAGAAGGGGCAGGAAGCGAAAACCGGACTTCAAGTGAGCCTACAGAAAGCGGAAGCGATGAAGATAACCAACCAACTGACGACGACAAGTAGCAGATATCACCATCAACGAGAAGTGCTTGACAGAGGTAACTTCCTCCCTTACTCCTCAGTGGCTGAATGGTCGACAAGTTTGCTCTGTACCCGAAAGATCGTTAGTTCGAACTCTGGAGGTGAGTGCGTACTGCTGAGAAGTCCCGAAACAGCTGCCCAATACTCCTTAGTGGTTTTTATTGGTTCTTTAACCAATATAATCCGTGAACAAATTTGAAACAAATCAAATCTCTATACACTCTTGAAAATCAAGGAATTATTGCTATTAACAATATTAATATCTTTTTAACTAACACCATATCAACAAGATCAATAGATTTCAATTGAAAAGCATTTGTAAGTGATGATTGAACGTCTTCTATGGAGCCAATTACATCTACGATTGCTCTAGGAACTTGGTGTTTACCCCTTTGAGAATACCGACCAGTGTAACTAAATTGAGATGTAGTTAGAACCATCAACAATTCAAAATTAGATCAGCTATTTCAAACAGGCTATAATGGTGGTATTGAATGTTCTTTTACAATCATTTATCAGATATATGGCCTAACTTTCTAAGAAACGGTCACAAGCAGTACAGAATAACCTTCAGAAAGAAGACAACCAAATAGAAGACGTTTCTTCTCTGCTAACAATAACGCTAATAATAATGTACACAAAAATCCATAAATATCTGTTGATTTTCTCGATAAACGATCTGTTGTCTGGCCATTGTCTTCTGTCGTTGCAATAATAATTCAGTTAGAAATCCCGACATTTAATTTCTGCTTTAATATTCACGCATATTGCCACTTACAGATGCTTATTCTCTGTAATCTATTGGTATTCCTGATTCAGTGTTAGTTAGGAAAACATTCATGTTATTAATAAAACTAATTCTCTAAGTATTATGGACGAATTGATTAAGAAGAGTTATTGAAAAGAATATTCTTTTTTCACTAATTTGTTGACTTCTCCATGTCAATAACAGCCTTGAAACATTGATTTTTAACATTTTTAGTACCTTAGTCTTGCATTCTACAACTCCATATCTGGCACAAATAAACAGTCAGAGACTTCATGGATTGATCGCATGTTTTCCTCTGACTACTTCAGTCGTTCCTGACCTAATCCCCCGTTTTCCGTAGCTGTATAATCCCACTTATATACCATTTCTTCATGGAAGAGGGCAGTAACAAAAGCTTTCACAGGCACACTCTCACACTGGTCTGAAATATTACTACTTACTAAAGAATCACGGCTTTCCAATACAATTTACTGTGGTTCATAATCGTATCATCAGCTATAAAATACACAACTTCGAAACTTTCGTTTTAAAGTTTCCTTTATTTCTGCCTATCACACGTATTTTTAACACCTGTCCTAGACATCTAGAAAATTCTACTACCTCTCTGACGAATAGGAAGGAATAAAGAAAACTATCAAAAGAAAGTTTAGAAGTTGTGTAGTTATGATCGATAATATGATTATGAACCACAGTAAATTTATTTGGAAACCGATGATCCTCCATTGAATAGCACTGTTACCGTGTGTGATATATCTAGTTAACAAATTAATATAGAATTACATACTACCTCAGTGCTTAAGTTATACACATAAATTAATGTTACAAACATAATCGTTAATATTAGTCAATCGCATATTTTTCTTCGTTTCTATGAGCCTCCTGATTACAATTCATTTAATCATCAAAATTATTCATCTTATTACTTGACTTTAGCGCGTCTATTCAACTCCTTTTGTGCATTATGTAAGACTAAAATTGCTATTGATTAATGAGAATAAAGGTGAGTTTCAACTTAACAAGTGTGAAGAGGGTGTGAAAATGTGCAAAAAGGAGCATATGAGAGTGATAATAGTGAATTAAGTTATTAAAGCAAAAACAAACTAAAAGGAAAAAGGAAAAAATCAAAAATATTTTACAGGGAACGGTAAGTGAATAGGTTAAGATCAAGGTAGAACAAGAGACTGAACAAAGCTTTTCTGTCTACAGAGTTCAGGGTGGTATTGATGAATTGCCAGCGCCTCCTTTATACACAAAAGTCAAAACCTGATACCCTTTGTACTATTTGGTTTTTGTGTATATAACCCTGGACTCTGTATACAGAAAAAGTTTGTTCAATCTCTTATTCTATCATGGTCTTAACCTCTTCACTAATCCTTCCCTGTAAAAAATTTTTTTTTAAATTTTGAATTTTACTTTTAGTTTACTTTTGCTTTAATACTGAATTCACTATTATCACTCTCATACGATCCTTTTGTACATTTTCACACCCTCTTCACACTTTTTAAATTGACACTTAATCATCTAAGAGTTTTAAAGAAACACATGAGTTAGAAAGACAAGCGAACAAAAATCATGACAGTAAAAATAAAAAACATTTTACCGTGATAGCAGAAGTTACTGAGTAATTTTCTTTTGTATGCATACCTCTAGTTCGTCTAACTGAGTGGCAGAAGCTTCAGCAATGCAAAGAAGACGAAAGCGTTTTGTCTTTGGCAGGTATTTTTTCACTTCGTAGATTAATTTGAAGGAGGCACTTCTCTGAGGTGGAATGACCAATGTTCACAAAACTTTAGATTATCATACTCATTATGGAACTAATACTACCTTTCTGCAGTCATGAGAGGTTGTATTTTTGAACCTCTTTGGACGGGGTGGGCGTCGAATGACCAGTAGGCCTGGCTCTATAGCAACATGTGAACTGATATATGCACACAGATGTGTTCAGATGCGTGATCATATTCTCAAGTCTTCCGTAGATCAATGGACAACTGTAGAGAAAGTTCTTATTAAAGAAGCCGAAATTTTTCCCTCTTAAGGAGATCACTGAGTAAGTCACCTTTGAATTCGAAGTTCATGTGAAGTTTCTCTTTTGGCAAGAGTGATATCTCTTGTCCTTGAATTTTCTGTTTCATGTTCGTGTCAATGAATCTTGGCGGATATCCGTTTCGAATGAAGATTCCTTTCAAAAAGTGTAACTTTCCATAGTATCAGGACTGCAGACGTAGAATATATATATATATATATGTATATGTGATTGTACAACTAAAGGAGATAGGTTTGCCGAAATGGGCCTCTTCGTGGAAATATTTATCTCATTTTTATCTAATGTTCGGATGGGAATTCTTCATGAGCTATTCCTATCTTACTTGATAGAGCTTGCCTGAGAAGACACTGAGTTACGATGTGTAGCGCATATGCCAGATATATCCAATTTCTAATCTATGATGACACTGTTTCAGTTGACCGGTAATTTTGGTTATTAAGATTATAATCATTATTATTTTACACCCTTTGTGCATAGCTGACTTTATTATTATTATTGCTCCCTTGGGTTCCTAGTGGAACATAGGGCTTCAACTGCACGTCTGCACTTGCTTCTGTCTTTTGCTGTACTTTTCACCTGCATCCATGTTACTCCATACTCTTTCAACTCCTCTTCACACGATCTCCTCCATGTCACCCTTGGACGTCCCACACGCCGCTTCCCTTTCGGGTTCCACTCGAGGGCTTGGCGCGCGATGTCACCCAGCGGTCTCCTCAGCGAGTGTCCGATCCATCTCCACTTTCTCCTGCATATTTGTTGGTTGGTGATTGGTTCTTGCTTTGTTTGTTCCCATAATTCCTTGTTGGTGATTCTTTCCGGCCATCTGATCTTCAGTATAGAGCGAAGACAGTTGTTAATAAAGGTCTGCAACCTTTTGGAAATATTCTTTGTGACCCGCCAAGTTTCTGATCCGTATAGAAGAACTGACTTTACGTTTGTATTGAAAATCCGAATTTTGTTGGTGATGCTGAGTGACGAAGATTTCCAGATTGATTTCAGGCTGATGAATGTGTTTCTCGCCCTTCCGATTCTCGCTCGATTTGACATCCTCGTCCGTTCCCTGCCTGTAGTTGAGACAATGCTCCCTAGATAAGTGAATGAAGTAACCTCTTTCAAATCCCTCCCGTTGATGGTGATTGACGTTGGATGTTGCTGTTGTTGTTGGTTGGTTATTTTCATAACCTCCGTCTTGTCTATGTTCACCTGGAGTCCTGTCTTCGCCGCTGCTTCTTCGACCAGTTTGTCGGTTTTCGCTTGTAAGTCTTCGATTGTGTGTGACATCAAACATAAATCATCCACGCGCGAAATCCAGGTCTTCTAGGTTCTTCACGTCGGTCCAGGATATTCCTGTCTTCTCGTTTCCCACTGTCTGACGCATAATCCAGTCAGTCCACCACAATTAGGAATATCATTGGTGATAATAAGCACCCTTGTCTGACTCCTGTGTTTACTCCAAACGCCTCGCTGAGTCTTCCGTTGTGGATCACTTGGCAGGTGCCGTTGTCGTACAGCTGTTGAATAAGGTTGATGAATATTTGGGGTACGCCATAGTACTCGAGTAATTTCCAAATTACTTCACGGTCAACGCTGTCGAAGGCCTTCTCAAAGTCTATAAAGTTGAGGTAGAGGTTTGATTGCCATTCCATGCTTTGTTCTGTGATGATGATGCGTAGAGTTGCAATTTGGTCAGTACATGATTTGCCTTTCCTGAATCCAGCTTGTTCTGGTCGGAGTTCTGTCTCCAGTGCGTCCTTTAATCTCTCCAGGATGATGCGACTCAGGATTTTACTTGGCGTCGACAGGAGCATGATTCCTCGCCAGTTCTTGCAGAGTGAGGCCTAAGTCGCCCTTCTTTGGTAGTTTCACGAGGTAACCTTTCCTCCAGTCAGTAGGCACCTTTCCCTCCTTCCAGACCTTTTGCAATAATGGAGTCAGCATGTCTGCTGTAGTCTCTGGGTCCGCTTTCAGTGCTTCAGGGGGTATTCCATCTGGTCCGGCTGCTTTTCCAGCTTTCAGAAGCTTGATTGCATTCAAGACTTCAGCTTTCGTTGGAGGATTGGTGTCAACTTGCAGTTGTGTGTGCGCTGTTGTTGGTATTTCTGGACGGGTTGCAGGTGGTGGTCGGTTCAAGAGTCCTTTGAAGTGATCCGCCCATTGTTTAATCTGTTTTTCTTCCTTGGTAATTGGGTTCCCTTGGCTGTCTTTTATAGGTTTCGCTTGTGTTGATCTCTTCCCGGATAGAGATTTGGTTATCTGATATAGTGTCCTCAGGTCCCTTTTGCCTGCTGCCTTCTCAGCTTCAGTAGCTAGATTGTCGTAGAATCGTCTTTTGTCCTTCCTAGCACTTTTCTTCACTTCTTTGTCCAATGCTTTGTAAGTTGAGCTCATCGTCTCCTTCTCCTGTCCGTCCTTGCATTGAATCATTTTCTCTTTCACCATTCTCCTCTCTTCTATTAATTTCCAAGTGTCCGTTGAGAGCCATTCCTTGTCTTGTCTCTTCTTTCTTCCTAGAACCGTTGAACACGTTTCGTTGAGAATCGCCTTCAGAGACTTCCAATGTTCTTCCACGCATGATTCTTCAGTGATGTCGCGTAGTGTTTCCTGCTTTGCTCTGACAGTTGCAGTGAAGGTGTCTTTTGTGGTTGTGTCCTTCAGTTTATGAGTGTTGAACTTGCATTGTGGCCTATCCCCAGCTATCCTCGAGGCTTTTAGTTTCACCTTGAAAGTCCCTTGTACTAGATAGTGGTCTGAACCCACATCTGCTCCTCTCCTTGACCTTGTGTCCAGTAGGCTCCGTCTCCACTTTCTTGAAATTGAGATGAAGTCTATTTGGTTTTTGGTGTTTCCATCTGGTGAAATCCATGTCGTCTTGTGTATATCCTTGTGTTTGAACACACTGCCACCAATCACCAAATCATTGAAGGCGCAGAAGTCTGAGAAGAGTTCACCATTGTCGTTCATTTCACCGAGGGCCTCACGACCCATGGTGAGTTCTCTTCCTGTGTTGTCTCGTCCCAGCTTCGCATTCATGTCGCCCATCAGGATTTTGATATCGCCATTTGGGACGTTGTCCATTATTGCTTGTAGTTGTCTGTAGAACGCCTCCTTCTTCTCTTGTTCTGAGACGTTTGTAGGCGCATAGCATTGAATGACTGTAACTTTCCTTCCTTTTGAGTTGAACCTGGCTGTCATTATCCTGGAGGAGATTGGTTCCCACTGCATGAGAGCTTTGGTTGCTGTTGGTGACATCATGATGGCCACTCCCTCGGTGTGCTCATGGTTGTCCTCTGGGTGGCCGGAAAAGATTACTGTCTCTCCAGTAGGTAGTTGGCACCTTCCAGTTCCGTTCCATCTGCTCTCGCAGATTCCCAACACTTCTATTCTGTACCTTCTCATTTCAGCGGCTATCTGGGCAGCCTTTCCAGTTTCGTACATTGTACGAACATTCCAGGTACCCATCCTTACTTTTGCTTTCATCGAAAGAAGGCACATCGGCTGACTGGCTTCCCGAAGGCTTTCACCAGCCTGCGTCATTTCACTTCCCCGATTCCAGCGAAAAGTAAGGCTATTGCTTATGTTTTTAGAATTTTTAATATATTTATTCGTTGAAGTTTCTGTAGCGATTTGGTTGTTTTACAGGGGTGGAGTTGCTAGCACCACGCCCCAACCCTCCCTCTTTACCCGGGCTTGGGACCGGCGAGAAAACTAGTAAGCTAGTAGCCTAGCAAGCTAGTATCTGGCGAGGTTTTAGCTGACTTTATAGTCAATGAAAATACCAAAACAGCTGCTATTATCAGTCATGTAATATCGCTTTTGATTGTTGTTCTTGCGATTGTCGAGTAAATTAGATGGAGTATTGTAGGAAATGCAGAAAATGCCACACAATATGATAAGCAATGTTTTGGAATGAATCAAGTTTTTATTATTATAATTAATCAGATAATGTACATTTTATTTACCAAGGCATGACAAGATCAGCAGTGGTTTTCTCCTGAATAGACAAATTTGTTTTGTGTCGTTTAGTGGCGATCGCTTTAGTAATCTTGAAATTTAGCCAACTTAAAGAACTCTTATGCATCAACTTCACGACTTCTGTCTAACAGGTAGCAAGCGATCACAACACTAAGGGCCTTTGTACCTTTCAGGCTCAAGTTCCATGGAATATGCTCACATATTCTGTCACATGGCTATGATATGTGTCAGGAATCGCTTCCATCGACCTTTAATCTAAGCTGATTTAGGAATGAGCTAGAAAAAAGTAAGCAGTGGTCAAAGCGAGACATATCACCAATCCATGAGGCCTACAACTGTTGGTTTGAGCCAAGCAGAAAGGTGTGCATTGCTTGGTTGGGGTTCACAACATGATAAAAGTCGATAGCTGAAAACTGTTAATGGATATATATTCAACCTATATGATCCTTCAAGGCAATCCAACCCTCATGTTTCCTGACGTAATGATTCTTTCTCTCCATCATTATTATTATATCCTTTAATTCCTAGAGGGATATAGGGCTTCAGCTGCGCATCTCCATTGCCTTCTGTTTTCTGCCAACGTTTTCACCCCGCTTCAAGTCTGCCCACACGCTTACATCTCCTCTTCACATGACCTCCTCCAAGTCACCCTTGCACTGACGGCCAACTCGCTGCTTTTTGTTCGGATTTCACTCGGGCAATGGCTTGTCTAGGGATGTCACTTGATGGTTTCCTCAGGGTATGGCCAATCCATCTCCATTTCTTCCTGCCTATTTGTTTCACAATCGGTTCCTGGTTGGTACGCTCACTGCCAGAGATCCTTCTTGCTGATCTTTTCTGGCCATCTGATCTTGAGTACTGAGCGAAGACAACTGTTCTCCTCATCATATTTCCATCTATTACAGCTTCTGTACATCTTCCTTCTCATCTTTTATGTGTGCATTAGAAATTGTGACAACCCGAAATGCCACACCTTTGGGCAGAATTCTACATTAAAAATTCAGCTCGATTCAAATTTCACTATAACCAGTTTACTAATAGCCTGATACAAAATTCAATACGTAATTGTCGTCACTCAGTCGACTATGGTAGTCAAGACTGAACTCTGTACAATATGCATTCTCAACGTCTTACTTCCAGTAGTGATTATACTGAATAATTTAGAGCAACGGAAAATTGGTAGAAGTTAGAATTTACGGGCCACTGGATTTCGTCATAGTGGCTCGCCTCATCACCTGATGGTCTTGGGTCCGACCCCTTCGGGACTGACTAGGCCCAAACTAGGACAAAATCACCGTCCAGCACTCTCTGGATTCATGATCAAACACAGAATTCCGAGTGACTCTTTTATATACAAAACAACGCCTTACTAACAACATTCACGTAAACGACAAACACTAACGTTATTTTTATTCCCCTGAACAACGGACAGTCATTTTTGTTATGTCTTTGCAATCCAAAACTATCAGTTTTGCTATATAACACTCACATGCTATCCTCCTAAGGCTCTAAGTCATAGTTTGCCGTACCCAGAAAAGTATGTATGAAGCTGACAGTGACATAATTAGGACGTGGAGGCGGTACCTCCAAATAGTGAATCCAGATAGCAAAATACCAAAATAGCAACTCGGTCGTTACACTCCCCTTCCATTCATCAACATAACTATTGATAATCCTTCGAATTTGAAATTTTCCTACTGAATTAAAGCCGAAAAACGGATAAATTCGTCTAAAAGTTTGGTCATTATTTTATGGTTTAAGCCTCTTGGGGGATGTAATATAGTTGAATTAAGATAAGATATTGAAAAATGAAAAATGACGTCTTTTTTGCATTAATTAAATTAAATTTGACTTATTTTAAAATCAAAACCCCACCTTGGAAAAATGTACGTAAAGTAGGTGAAGATAAGAGACTGAGCAACGGACCTTTTCCCACGTCTCAGCAGCCTACCCAACACAACCGTCTTTGCTACTGGATCCTTGACTCGGTGGTAGGAGCGAAGTCTTGTAAGAAGCTCCGCACATTTTCTGTTTCGAAAGCAGCGGGCTATGGGTACTTCATTGTTCAAAGGCAGCATTACCAAATGTAACTCGAAGAGATAGGACAAGTGAGAACAGACTTTTGTTCAGGAAAAATGCATCACATTTATACATTCTCAGCAACATTGACGCTCGGTTAGGTCAGAGGGGAATAAATTGTTCCAAATGGTCAAAAGCTAAGCAAGTTGTTCAATAAGATTATTTCATGGCTACTGGATTTGAGGGATAAGCACTTCTACCTCTGCAGCCATTGGCTTAAAATACTAATTTTTATTTTTGGCCATTTCCCATCATTCTGCATCACGCAACATATGTAACCTTTGGGTATAAGAGTAGGAAATATTACACTGTGATAGAGGATGAATCCTGATTGATGATGTGTTTCTTTTATTTCAGCATAGACTTCGTCATGAGTAGACATCAGTTAGACAGTTATTAAAAAACACGCAGCAGTGAATAATTATCTTACACTAGTATTGCAACTACAGTAGACAAATGCCAGGCAACACATCGTTCACTGAGAAAATCAACAGATATTTATAGATTTTTATGTACAGTATTTTTAGCAGAAAAGCAACCTCTTCAGATTGATTGTTTTCCTGCTGAAGATTACTCTGTCATCTCTTTGTCACCGTTTCCTAAATAGTCCGCTGATATATCTGCTAATCGAATCCTCCCACACTAAGTCTGCTGTGATTGGTTGTTGAGTTCCTCAAAGTTAGGCCTTGATCGTGTTTTTTCTCACGACCCCGATTTGGGATGTAAACACTGACGTAAACTGTTGCTTAAGATTTTGTCTTGCAGACAGCTCTCACTACAGCATTAGACTCTTAATCAATGCGCACCAGTAACCCCACCAGGGATTGAACCTAAGACCGACAATTTGCCAGGTCAGCCAAGTGAAGATTCAGCTACGAGAGTGGAATTCAGTGACACTTGAATCCTAACTTCTGTTAATTTTCAATATAGTTCCACTATCAACCGACGCCGCTGATGGGTATCCGCTCTAAACCCGTTATGTTGAAACCCATCTGCCAGAGATTCTTACTTGAACTTCATCCAACCTAAAAGCTCACACGAGCAGGTGATGTCGAACCGTTAACTCTCTTTATTATACTAGTATTTAACCACACTGGCAGGTGTTGCTGAGTTTAAAAAAATAA